TGCTGCCTCTCTCGTCTGGTTCAAACATCCGATCAATAACTGATCAGTTACAGATTGATCTCAGAGCTGTGACCACAGAGCTCCCATCTGACCTCCGTGGGGCTCCAGTATAAGGATCCAGAATAAGACACCAGCATGAGACAACTGTATGAGGCCTTAGTCTAAGACAAAGGTGCAAGGCTCCAGTAAAGGACTCTAGTAAGACACCAGTATAAGACATAAGTCTCAGATACCAGTTTGAGGCTCCTGTACAAAACACCAGCATAAGAAACCAGTATAAGACAAAGTTGAAAGGCTACATTATAAGGGACCAGTATAATACAACAGTATGCGAAACCAGTATAAGGCTTCAGTATAAGACACAATTATAAGAAACCAGTATTAGGGACCAGTTTGAGGCTCCAGTATAAGCCACCAGTATGCGAAACCAGTCTAAGACACCATTATAAGACACCAGTATAAGGCTGCAGTATAAGAAACCAGTCTAAGGGACCATTATAAGTCACCAGTATGATGGTCCAGTATAAAAAGATATTGAAATTGATATAACAGTATAAGACACCAGTATCCTCCATCAGCTCCAGTTTGTGCAGCAGCTGCTCTCTGGTCTGAGCACCATGTTCAAACACAAAGCGAAGCTCCTCCAGCTGTTTGTCCTGTCAGTCAACCAGCTGACAGCTGAGCCACAGCAGGAAGTGATGTCACAGCCAAAAATATTCTTTAAACAGTGAACCATTAAAATCTCTACACACACCACACGATGATTTATTCGTCATTATTAGAATATGCTTGAGAGCTGCTTCACAGTCAGAGTCCATCAGAGTTGAGTCCTGAACACTGAGAGGAGTCAGCGTCACGCTGTTTTAATAAAGATGAAGGTGAGTCGACACATCATCTCTAAATACTGAACTCATGACCACGAGCTGCATCACGTCCACTTCATTCTCTGCACTGGTCTGTGTCTGTCTCTGTACTCTGACCCTCCGGCCATGAACAGAATTATAAGTAAGGGTTGAAACAATTTCAACTTGTTCAACAGGAAGTCCAGCCCAGACCAGGACCAGGACCAGGACCAGGACCAGGACCAGGACCAGGACCAGACCCTGTCTCTGGTCTCCTGCAGACGGTTTGAGCAGTTTTTCTGTGTTTGTGTCTCAGCTGCTTCGTCACAGAGCTGAAAGGCGATCTGCAGAGTTTCCAGCAGCTCGCAGGAATCTCCATTTGTTCCTGCTTATTGGGGGGCGGGGGGACTAATCTGATCCATATTCAAGTTTAGAGCTGCAGCTGCAGGACGGACAGAGTCCACAAACACAACACATGAAAACACACGACTGTATCCTCCTCAGAGAAGAATAAGACAGATGAGACTTCCTGTCTGTGAAAACATGATTCAGTCCTGAAACACCGAGCAGCTGCAGAAACACTGACGCTCACATCGACACCAAACAGCTGATTAACCCTTTAAATAAAAACAGCTGCATTCACCTCTTCACAAGGACAGAGAGAAGTGTCCACGTCTCGACTCGTCTCTGAAAAGTAAATATTCTAACTCCACACTGGAGCTGCTCTCAGCTGTTTGACTTCACACCCACTTCAAAGCTCTCACAGCGACACACCCACGTGTCGCCTGATGTGTTAAAAGTTGCACTTGAACGCAGCACAGAGATGACAGCTGAAAGTCAGCTGACCACCAAGTCGCCTTCGAACATCTCTGCAAGTCTAGGTGTCCAAAAGCATTTGTCACGAAGATCTAAAGACACTAGCTTCTTTTACAATCGTGGAATGGAGGGACAGAGTTGAGTTTTAAGTCTTTTGTGTGATTTATCCTGGCTTCATATGAGCAGAGGAAACCTCCCCTTATAGCTAATTGCTAAATTGCTAATTTACACAGTGTAAAATGCCATAGGCTTGTGCTAATAACGTTAGCATGTTATATTTGTTTGGAAAACATGTTTAGTATAAGACAGTTGTTTTGTCAGTGAACCTTGTGAGTTGTAATTGAGTCAAATTTTGTAACGTTAACTTTGTTAAATGTTGCTGTTGTCCCTGGCTTCATACGAGTAGAGGGAATCTCTGCTAGCTGCTAGGCTAATTTATACAATGTAAAATGCCATAGGCTTGTGCTAAAAAAGTTAGCATGTTGTATTTGTGGGGAAAATGTGTCCAGATAAAGACAAGTGTTTGTCTGTGAATGCTGCGAGTTATAGTGAAGCTGATTTGTGTACTTGTGTTTGAAATTGTCTCTATTAAGCCATGTTTAATGTGTGTTTAATGTGTGTTTTGAATCAACTAAACTTTACAGCACGTCATAGAAACCCTGCTGCCAACTAGTGTTTTAGAGGTGTAACTGCAGAGTGACACAAACACACCACCGCACAAGTATAAAAGCTCACAACAGCGTAGGCCACGTGCATAGGCTACACTGTAGGGTCTTCATATTTTAAACAATAATTAAAAATAATAAAAAAAACATTTTAGGTTTAATTCCTCACGTTTTGGCAACAAAAGCACGTGGTTAGGTTCAGAAAAAAACATCACGGTTTGGCTTAAAACAAGTATGATTGTTGCTAACATAATATACACTCACGTCACATACGCCACTAGCATAGCATGCTACACATACTACCACACTACTATTAAAATAACCTGACTGACCTTTAGTTTCACACGGGAAAAAAACAGCAGGCTCCCAGGTAAAAGTCCAGAGTTTTTCTGACCCATCCACCTCCCCTCCCACCCCAACTCCATGTGGGGTCATGGACTTTCTTACTCTTCATACGATGGCAGTTGCTCAGAATGTTAAAAAAAAAAAAAGCCTCTGCCCAGTGTATCTCATACTGCCGCTAAAGGGTGCCTCTATGTGTTGGTATCTGACACTGAGGGCCATTGACCAAGCATTGGAATTTGACGAAATGGGAGTGAGAATGGGCTGCACTGTCTCCATCAAATCTATTTAACTTTTATAAATCTGCATTATTATTACTAAATCTTTGCGTTTACCCTGAGTGGCATGCCGACAAAAAACAGGCCAACCATGGGCCGACTGTGGGCCAACCATGGGCCGACAACAGATCGACCATGGGATGACAAAGGACCGACTACTGGCCAACAATGGAACAACAGTGGATCGACCACAGGCCAGTTCAGAACTGTCTGATGTTTCCGTGGTTACAGCCAGAAGCTGACAGAAAGTTTCTCATCAGACTGTGGAGGTGATCAGCTGTAGACTCACATGACCTGGGATCACCTGTTCAAACAAACGACTGAGAACACACCAACGTGACGGCTACATAATATGTGTGTGTGCCTCAGGCCGTATCGACTCATCACACCTCTTTCACTGAAAACACACACACACACACACACACACACGATCCATGATTACATCATCGTCTTTCTGGTCATCAGGATGTTTATTATCTGACATTACAGACACAAATGAACTCTAATAAAAAACATAAAGAAAAAGAAGTGAATGAATATGACTCTATCAACAGTTAAAGTATTTTTTTTTTAACTAACATTTATCGATTATTTTTCACCTTCAGCTTCTTGTAATTATGAGAAACAATTGTCTTGTTTCTTTGGTGAACAAAACCTGTAAATCTACAGTACTTTATATTTCTTATTATTTATTTTTGTCCATGTGTCCTGTGTGGTTTGACGTTCATTAGATAACAAACAGCCTTTAAAGTTAAATAAACTAAATGTGTCAAAGGTGTTCCTCAGGGTTCTATTCTGGGTCATTTATTCTTGTTAATTAAGTTCCTGCTGGTTCTGATTCAGATCAGGTTGCTGTGTTTATTTACTAAATGAAAGAATATTTTTTCACAGGATAACTTACTGGTTTCATTTCAACAGACTTAACCTGAAACACTTACAAATTTTAAACATGAAAGTTCATCCTTGAAAACAAAATTTGACTCTAGTTTTTCCTGGAACATAAAACAAACCTTTCTGTCTCCTCAGATGGAGTTTGAAGATGAATTGTTAAAAGTTTAAAAAAGCCAGTAAGTGGACTTTGACTTGAGATTTGTTGTCAGATATTTATAATAACAAAATATATTTAAAAAAAATATCATAATAAAATGTGTAGGTACTAGCAGTGAAATAGTAAAATTCTTTAATAAATAAATAAATAAATACTATTTCATTAATAGTATTAATAACAAAAAAATGTAGTAACATACATATAGAGATTTAATTCATGTCCTGTTAAGGTATTTGTGTCTTTTAGATGAAATTGTCACTGGAAAAATGTAAAAAGATCCTGTAAACAGAAGATTTGCTCACTTATTTTATTAGACTTATCTGCACGTGAATTACTGTAATATAGTTTGAGATGCTTATAACTGGTCCTAATGAATACAGAACGTTTTTATGCAACATTTAAACAATTAACTGCAGATTATGTATAAAACTGTCTCAAGTGATGTTTTCAAATGTTTTTAAATCAATTTTCAGATCTTTATTCTATCAGCTTTATCTGATATGACTCATATTTATTTGAATCAGTAGAGCATGTATTAATCATTATAAGTGTGAAATTAAGCCAAAGTCAACTATTAAGTAACCTGATTTAACTAATAGATCAACAGCAATAGTAATTGATAATTACTGATAATTGATTTATCATGTGAGTCTTTTTACAATCTGTACTGATGTCAGATTTTCAGTTTTTCTTTGATTCAATTCTCAGTAAGCTTTGAATTTATTTTGGACAAAACTAAATATCTGAGGACTTTTCCTAATTCTTTGAGGCTTTATTGACTGAATCAATTATTGATAAACAATAATACCTCTATGACTATATAATAAATACTGTAAAAAAAAAAAAATAAATAAAGTTTACCTAAGGTCAAAACAACGCTTAGTCTGTCTGTTATGTTAGAGTGGCTGACCCCGCCTTCACCTCTGACCTGTGACCTCACACACCGCACCTGAGTCATTCCGTCCCAGACAGAGGTCAGAGGTCAAGCGGCAGACAGGTCAGGACCTACCAGCTGTTTCCTGAGCAGCAGGATGTTCTCCTCCAGGAGCTTCTCCTCGGAGCTCAGCTGAGCCTCTCTCCGCCGCTCCTCCTCCTCCTCTTCCTCCTCAACAACCTTCTCCTCCCGGAGCTCTAACGCGGCCCGGACCAGCACCTCCTGCCGCTGCCGCAGATACTCCAGCTCCCCGAGCCCGGACACGGTGGCCTCCAGCCGCTCCCGCACCGAGCGCTGCCGCTCCGCCGCCTCCGCGTCAGCAGCGGCTCTGTCCCGCCTGGAGGGGGCGGACAGCAGCATGTCCTCCGTCACACTGTCCGCTGTGACCTCAGGGGCTCTGCAGCATCAGGGTCCGGAGGAGCTGCAGGCTCAAGGCTGCATGCTGCGGAGCGGAGCGGGACACCGTGAGGACGCTCTGCCGCGGAGGAGGCAGCAGGGTCGGGTCAGGTGAGACGAGTGACCCGGGTTAAACGGACCCGGTCAGAAAGTGAATCCAGACTCAGATCCTCACACTGCTCTCCTCTGAAGCCCCCACTATCAACCGGTGGTTTCACGGTCCTTTCGCACGCACAGGTGAAATTAATCCGGTAAATGAGTCCCGAGTCCGGTCAGGTCCAGGTCCAGGTAAATCCCAGCATGCCCCGGGGCAGCAGAGGTGAGTAGATCCGTCAGAAAGCAGTGAGAGTCGGGCTGAGGTCCGTATTGCTGCCGCTCCTCCTGCAGCTCCGTCCAGACTGACCCACTGATCCACAGCGGCACCAAGTCCGGTAAACCCCGCCCCCTGCACGCTGCTCACACACGGAGCTGTGTGACGTTAGCAGCAACGAACACCTGCGCTTCCTGTTGTCACCTTCAAAATAAGATACCTGGCTGAGAAGATTTAAAAACTTTGTCGTCTGGGATTTAAAAAGAGATCAAATGTAAAATTATCTTTTATCTTCAGTTACTTTACAGATTTAGATAATTAATAAAAAATATATAATCAATAAAATAATACTGTATAAAGAGCTCTGTTATGTAGCAGTATTTAAAGTGATTAAAATGAGCTCCACCTTTACACCTGCAACATTTAAGTGATGAACACATTAATGCATCAATAATTATAATACAATGCTATATATTATTATCACCACAATGAGAACTTTTATTTTTGGTACTTTGAGTTTATTTTGATTCTTATATATTTAGTATTTACTAAAGTAGTGTCAGTTTTATATAATAATATTTGGTGACTTTTTTGACATTTTCCAATATTTCTCACTTAAATGAAGGGAGATGTCCTCTCTTTGTCTAATTAAGAACTCAGATTTCTGATTAACTCTCATTAGTTCAGAACACAAATTTTAAAAATCTGTTCATTGGAATTTGTTTTGAAATTTTCTGATTAATCACATTATTAAATTTTAGTATTTTCTAAATTTTATTTTCTAATATTTCTTCGGTCAGACATTAAATATGTGTCTCTGTGCTTTGATAAAGGTTTGTAGAGCATCAGAGACATTGGCCAGATCTCCCTTGTAAGAGATTGTTGATCTCAGCAGGACACACCTGGTTAGAAATAGGTTAAATCAATGAAATTAAATTAAAATTTAAATCCTGGACTTTATTGTTCTATTTAACAATAATACAAATCAAAATTAAAAAAAAGTCTGTAAGAATTTTGATATTTATCTTGTTTTTTACAGCGATAAAATTTAATTATTTTTTGAGAGTAACAAAAACGTATATTATTTTGGAGGGCTGATTAACAGAACTTCCGGTCTGATTGTGTTAATTAGTGTGAGCTTGATGCTCCGCCCCTCAGAGCCTCCTCCTGTGTCAGGCCTCCTTCAGGTCCTAAAGTCCTCCATCAGTCAGCTCCTAACACATAAATCATATTTAATAACTGTCTGTAAAGAAAACTTCCATGTGTGTTTATGTAAAACAGACTGCGGAAATATTTCTACACTGTTCAGTTTTTATACAAAATCATTATTTTTTTCCTCTCCCAATTTTACTTATTTACAATAGTTACGTTTTTGTTTTATTTTATTTATTTTGTTGAGCGTCACTGCAGTGTGGTGGAGGGGTTTTAGTTTGATAAATCATGATCAATCTTGATCATTTAAAATCAATATTATCAGTGAAATCAAATTTTTAAAAAATGTTTTGTATCTTACCAAAAAAATATTGAGAACAAATGAAAACAATAAAAACATGTTGAGTCATTTTCAATTGTGACTATAAACATTTTTATTTTTCACAGTACATCTAATAATAGTACAAAAACGTTTACATTCTATTTATTATTATCGAAAATATTTACATTCTATTTATATTAATATTTTCCAGTATATGTAATTACAATAATTGTTTACACTATATTAAATAATTAATTTTTATTATTATTATAATGTTTACGATTTATTTAGTAATTTATATTTTATAATCTAAAATATTTAGTAATTATTTAATACTATATTTAGTATTAATGATTGCAGTATATATCATGATTTTTTTTTTTTTTTTTTTTACGTAGTATTTAATAATAATACTGTTTACAGTATGTGTGCCTCAGGTGACGTTTTGACTGGTCTTAATTGTCCTCGGTACAGATACCAGCAGCTGAATGAACAGACTGTATCACAGTGTCTTTGTGTGGTTTTTGGGTCATTGCAGGTTTTAATGAGTCTTTAGTGTGTGAAGAGTTAATGAGGTCGATGCTTCATTTGTATGTTAATGAGGGGGCGGGCCGAGAGCAGAGCGCCTCCTTCTGCTTATGCTGCTGGGAACATTTATCTGATTTTATTTTAATGTCAAAGTGTTCTGTGACATCCTAAAATCTGTCTGTGAGCAGGTGGGTGAGAGCTCCAGGTGAACACACTAAGTGAACTTTTTAATCTAAAACTCTGACTTCAGTTGGTTGATTTCAGGAGAAAAGTTTGTTTCTAATCTGCTGAGACACCCGAGGCTTTAAAGGGACAGTCCGGCATTTTAAACAGCTGCTCAGTTTCTGTGTCTGATCAGGAAAATGACTTTAAACCTGAAGAAAAGTCTGCGGCTGACTGGATCACTGCTGCTGCTGCTGCTGCTGCTGCTGCAGGAGGTGGGGGTGGGTTGCCATGACAACAGAGGTTATTGTTGGTGTTACCTGGTGATGGAAGAAAAAAAAATCACAGCAGGTCAGAAGATTCAAACCTCCCACAGTGCACAGATCTCTGCTGTATATATATACTGTGATGTTTATTGTTGGTTTACTGCAGCAGTTGTGTGTTCGTATGTGGTGTATCGACTCACCTCCTGTTGCCGCCTCTCGGCCAGGTCAGGTCAGGTCTGGTCATAGTAAAGGAGAGCTGGTTCTCAGTTGACATCAGCACACCTTGAAAAACAGTTATCTTACTCAGCAGAACACTGGAGTTGCTGGTCAACCAGCGTCTGAGCATTTGTTTGGCACCATTTCATTTTATGTATGTGACGTGAGAAGTTCATGTAGGGTGAATTCAGGTAATGTGGGACAGTTTTTGGTAGATGCTCCGGTAGACTTATATAAAAACTATTTACTTGCTCCAATGATGTTTCATTAAATCATTTTAGGCCTTATTAACATTTTATGTTTGAATTCAGTGGGAATACAATCTTTTTTTAGAAGCTACACACCTTCAAACATAACATGACACCCTCTTTCGTTCGAGCAGCATGTTCAGGTAATGTGGGACAGTTTGTTTGGTAAAGTGGGACAGTCATTCTTAGATTTAAAAAACAGGCCTCTTTGCAGTGAATACAAATCATTTCAATTAACAATTAAAGTTAGGGTACTTTTCAAAGACAAACCAACAGCTGCTGGTCACCTTCTCCCTCCACCATCGAGAGTGTGCTGCTGACGCAGTGCATCTCCCTGTGGTATTGTGGATGTTCGGCTGCAAACAAAAAGGTCCTGCAGTGGGTGATAAAGATTGAACTAACATTGATTTTTAATAACTGCATGATGTATTTTTGTATGAAATTATTTATTAATTAAGAATTATTTATTAAATAAGAACAGATAATAGGAAATAACAGGAAACAGAAGAGAACAGAAAAACAGTAACGTCTTGCTAAAAATATCCAGTTTTATCACCACAAAATCATGAATGTCTTGCTTAAAATATCCAATTTGATCACCACAAAATCGTCAATGTCTTGCTAAAAAATGCTATCGCCACAAAATCATGAACATCTTGCTAAAAATAAACAGTTTTATCGCCACAAAATTATGAACATCTTGCTAGAAATAACCAGTTTTATCAACCCTGACCAACCCTGACTAACAGTGTCCAGAAACCTACAACTCCGTGAAGCAGTCTTTGCAAGTGAAAGTAACATCGTCAAAGAGTACATACTCTTTGTACTTTGTGTCGCGACAAAGCATTGACTGCTTGCTAGCTATCAATGTTACCTATAGCTAGCTAAATGAAATGATGGAGTAGGCCTAGTTGTAGTTCTACAAAGGTTAAAACTTAGGAGGGTTAGGGTTAGGGCCAGTTTTATAGCATAAATAAAGCATAACACGCTGTCCCACTTTACCTGAACAATGCCGTCCCACATTATCTAACATGTTCAGCTAATGTGGGATAGTGACATAAATCATGTTTTCATAAAAACAAAGGATTATTTTACACTTTTTCTCCTGTTTCTCAACCAGTGTTTAACCTACTTCATTATGAAACAGAAGTATAGGTTCTTACCTAATTTAAATTTCATTAAAAGCCTTAACATTGAAAAATTGAAACCCTGTTGCCGCTGAACTTACCAAGCGTTTGTGCTGTGCAGACCTCCTGCGAAGATAGGCCACGCCCACTCTGATGATGTCAGACCAACCCAAACCATTGTTTAGTGGCAAGAAGTGTTGTAGCAACAATTCAAGGTCAGTTTTGATCATTGTGTATTGATTTTGACCATATTAAATCATCACAATGCATAAACGTCCCACATTACCTGAATTCACCCTAAAGAAACATTGTGATTCTGTCTATAGTTCCAGCTGAGTGTGTTTCTATCAAAGAGTCAAAAATCTGTCAGTTAGTTGATGTTCAGTGTCAGCTCACAGCTGCTGAATGTGAACTCTTATTCTCTGAAATTATTTAAAGATTAAGAAATGAAACCATGACAACACACACACACACACATATACAGAGTGAGTTCTACCCTTTAATAAACTCTAATAACTTAATAACTGATGTTTCCACTGAGCTCAGTGGTGACGTCTGTTGGAAACTACACACACACACACACACACACACACACACACACTGAAAGACTAAACAAACCAGCAGACATCAGAGCAGATAATAATCTTACAGAGGAAGTTATTCAGTGAAAGTGACGCCTGGCGTTCACTACAGGAAATACATTATTCTGAAAATAACTCACGGGCGAATGAAGCAAAGAGGCGAGCTGCTCGTGGCCCGCAGGCCGCCATTTAACCCTAAACTGAGTCTGAACCCTCAGACATATGAGCAGAGTATTAAATGTCCTCACTTTCCAAACTTGTAGTTTTACGCTAACAAATTAATTAAAAAATGATCCACTGACATCAAGTGAACTAAAAGTCTTGTTTGGTAGTAGGGTAAGGGACAGAATCATTGTGTTTCCTGTGACTGCTTCACAATAAAAGCCAGTTGAAGTGTTTTAATGTGAAGGAGCAGCAGGAGGAAATGTTGTGTTAGTGTTAGCAGTAAACTCATCCAGCTCTGATACAGAAGCTGGAGAATGAACAGTAATGGCGGAGTCCGCCA